GAACACTCAATTCGCTTCACTGCAATCCGACGCTGCATGATGTATAATAGTAGAGGAGGCAAAGAGGCTAAATAGGAATTTACTCGAGCGTCGTATAGGGACGTATCAGATTGTGAAGATTAGATGCGAAAACGAAAAAAAGTTTATATGATATATGACCATTCACTGGTGGGGGACCGTGTACAGGTGTTCAAAAATGTAAATACTGGAGCGCATCTGCCGGTTTGCATGGTGGGGGTGGCCGAACGAAAGGATAGAGGATTGGTAAAAAAAATTATTCGAGCTCGTCAGATATTGAGAAGGGACGTAAAGTTAAGTGAACCCCCAAGTAGCTCCTATTCAAAAGACTGACGATTGGACGCGACCAAGAGTCCTGATCAATATTTGAAAATGAAGAAAAAAAAATCGTGACCTTGAAATACTCGAGCGCGTCAGATTATTATACAGACGCTTCATCTTAATGTCCCTGTCGTATCGACCCATAATCTGACAATTATTACCTTAATCTGACGGTTGGTTGTTGTTTTGTGAACTGAATATAATAACTAAAATATAAAATATAGAGGGTGAGTCAGTTTTTTGTAGCAGGACTTCAAAAGCTCGAAGAATTTACAATTTTGAGATGGAAGGCTCATGTAGACATACAGGGTGGACAAATAGTGTGGCAAAGTGAGATAACGGCTTTGTTGTTTGAGATAGATGAACAAAAATTCTTGAGATGTTTTTCCCCACAAAATACACAATTCGAACTATTGTCACTAATTGTTGTAACATGAAACTTACTGCACTGAATTTAATGAACTTTTCCCTACAAATGTAAAAAAATAACAAGGTTTAAGCATTGATAACAATGTACGAAGTGATTTTTTTTTTCCAGTTTCCTACGTAACCACAATTACATACATAGTTTCCAGTTGCTGCTAGCACACCACTCAATTGATGATTTTCGCTACTTCGGCTTGTGAAAAATTTTTTACTAATCTGATGGGCTGTCGCGCTCGAGTAAATCCCGAAATCACCGCTTAGGCTTCCCTACTATAATGTGGAGAGGACCATTATTGAAAACTCAGTAGATCAGCAACTCATCTTCTCCCCTAATTTCTCTACACGCACCCTTGTCGTGATTTTTTTCATATGAATATTCCAGGAGCGAGGTGAAAGCTCTTTTATTCTCGCGCACGCTTCCGAAATTATTTTGCAATGATTTACATGTCGTTTCACCATTATCTTTGACTAATGTTAGTGTATGCTACGTCGAGTATATCGAAGAAACGTGTTGGTTCTGTTATGGGTTTTGGCGAGAGCGTATATCTGGCGAGACACAAAAATAACCAGTGATTCTAACTTACCACCAACCGTGATACAAACACATAGTTACCAAGCCATGTAGTTTCATGATGATAATCGTTTTGAGGTTGGATCTGATTATTTGTAGAAATAAATACTGAATGATACAAAAAGTCATGTGTCCACGACATTTAATGTGATTAACACTTCAAAAATTGGTACATGTTTCAGACATATCTAGGTCCATCATCAGCCTTACATCAGAAATTACAAATTATGGGGAGAAAGAGGTTGTCTACAACATTTACATCAGAAAAAATAGTAAAGGGTTTTAATTGTGGAAAATAAATTATGGGGAGAACCCAACAAACGGAAAATTATTTCATTTTATGGGGGATTCATCAAATGGCAAATATTTTACTAAGATTTTCGTTGATCCTGGTGGCACCATGACTGATGCGCTTCGGCTACACTTTTGCCAATATATGCCAATATAATTGTAGTTCAAGTAAAATGCGAAGTTGACCGCATCAAACACTATTTATACATGAAAAGATCGATAAAAAATAGGTTCGTCTGTTGTACGACCTCATTGTGTCATGCTATAATATGCCGAATTTTTCTATATGAGTTCTGTGCAATCAATTATTTGCCATTGCATTGCTTCAAATTCATGAAAATTGGAACAATTCATTTTCACATATATACAATGAATCAAATATTTGTTTTCATCAATGATATGACGAAATCTTTCATCGAAAAATACTTCGTATGAATCCATAATTATCTCTTCTAAAAGTATAATTATTTTTTCGTATCTATTAACCTTAGGAGAAAAATTGACTGGTTAACTCATTGTTGACCCGGTTGGTTTGGTTAACTTGGAAGAAAAATGGCTCTTATTTATATACAAATTGCATTCGGTTATTTCCATATCTTCTATTAGAGTGTTCCTACTTCGGACTCGGAGTACGTGTTTCGCCAAAATATGAAAATGAATTCTTGTAATTTTTAGATAACAAGCTTTCTTGCAGGATTATCGGTAATTTTCATGCACTTATGCAATAGTAACCGATCAATTTGTAATACAAATTATAGCTATCTGAATCAGGTGATCTCAAATACAGTTCTCATTTTTGGAAATCAACTTGATGCTTTATGATCTCGAATTAAAAAAAAGTGTCCTATTGTGTTAACTTATCTGCTTCCTCGAAGATTCGTGTTTATGAAACCCCTCTTTCAGGTGTCTGCAGGTATGCATGTAAAGATTTTGGGAAAGTCTGTATGTGGTATTTTCATAATTTCTAGCTGGTTTGGTTCCAGAAATCGATTGTTTGTGATGTAACAGCATAGGACTCCAGTAGTCCAGTACTGAAATGTCATTCTTCTCCGAACCCATCACATTCCACATAATTATGTTGCCTCCAAGAGAGAATCTTTCTCGTTTGAAATTACCGAGGAGATCTTTGGCTTCCGCAATCTTTTGATTCTTCTGATTCAATCAGTGATGATGATGTACTTTTTAATGCCAGTTTGTATGCTTGTTGTTTTTTCTCTAGGCCAACCTGTCCTGCCTTTGGTAGGTATTTCCTAAGCATCTCATAATTGTGAGGTAATCTTAACACTTCACCATACCCAACCATTACCTAAGGAACATACCGTATAAAAGGTGGCAACTTTGTTAGAAGGGGTATCTTTGGCAGTACCGTTGCTTTCCGAGAGTTATTGGGATGGGTCAGTACACGTATTTGGATAAAAATTTCAAGGAACTAGAGTTTTATTGAGAAACTGAAACACGTTAAATGGTGCCTAAGTTACACTACGATGGGTCTTCATTGTTTTTGTTCACTGATCTGTTTGAGTGCCAATGTAACCCCAGTCACGGGGCTACTTTGGCTCCCAATTTGTAATTTTTTTCTCGATTGGTATGACCTTTATTGCTACTCGTGATTGTCATCACGTCATTTCAAATATAAATACATCGCCTAGGATGAAAAATACTTCAAAACCTGCACAAAGCAGGCCCATTCACTTTATATTTCTGGAAAATCACACCCATTGAAACTGACAAAGAAAATTTAAACCATGAGCATATAATTCATCATAAAATAAATAGGCACTGCATATTCACTCTAAAAACGTGATGTATAAGGTGAGAGGTCGAGGAAGAGTAAAACAACTAGAATAATGGGAAACATCGCCAGGGATTTTTTACAAGATTGATGTTACTGGTATTGCTGATTCTGTTTCTGGCATGGTAATACTTTTGTGACGTTGACAAATGGGACAAAATGTTGGTCGATGCTTTTTACGAACAATTTTGTATCTACAAATAGAAACACTGTATATACTTGCATGCTCACAAATCCTTATTTATATGTGTGTGTTGGGTCTTTGAACAAAACAGTCAGGAGCGAATTATTCTTCTTCACCTCAGTTTTCTGAGGAATATCATCAAGGTTTTCAAACATACTAGTTTTATTTTATCTGATATAGATGACTATCATTGAAATCTATGTGTTTATCGATACCAATTATTATCATTTCATGTTCATCAGATGTAGGTACTATAGCTATTGACGAGAGAATTAATTATGGAAAGGTAGTGAAAAACTTTTACTATTGAGGTTATTACGTTCAGATGCCAATTCATGCTTACTCCTATTTTCGTACCATAATAGATGATCATAAAGAATACAATTTGATAGTTATCATATTTAATTATAGAGTCAATGATTGATTGGAAGAGTTGCTTTCATGTAGATCGAGAGATCTCCTATGTTAACTGTTTAGAATATCTAACATCATGTTTCTGATTATCATTGAGAGTATGTTTATATTATTATGAGCGCATAACTCAATAAGTAATTGTAGGTAGTTGTTAGCACTGTCAAGGTCAAGAACACTCATTATTAACCATTCACAGAGTATATGCATCATCTGATCAATTATTCAATCAGATATTTTCACTACACCTGCTATGCCAATGCATCAATCAAATTACACTGGTTAATTTTATGAGTTCATTGAACATAACAAACTAGATTTATTTGAAACAAAATCAGGAATTCAAAGCTTCTGGATGAACAAATAGTTGTCAAATCGCCTCAAGCAATAAGATTGGAAATAATAAGCTACCTACCATTATATAAATATGTATTTTAACATTTTAACTTGATAATGAAATATTTAGTAGAATCAAGCTAGTTTACATTCTCATCGGAATGAGAATAGTGCTGACAAAGTTTGATATGCATGAAACAAGCATGTTGAGAGTGAGTATAATGGATTTGACATGATTACAATTCTTCAATCGCCAAAGATATTCCGGGTCTATATTACTTCGTATGTCCTGGAACTAAGATTCAGGTTTCACCTCTGTTCTTCCTGATCTCTGACCATTCCCAATGGGGAAGGCTCCTATCTGCCCCTTAAGTTCTATCTGAGATTACTAAAAACTTGGTCATGCTAATTGGGACTATTGATACAATTATTTTTTGATCATATCTTTGTAGTTTTCAGACGTATCATCCACATCAAACCTAGTATGGTTGAACACGTATAATGTATAATTATAACTAGAAAAACCACTATTATTTTAGATATTGAATCTTCACTTCAGAAATAATGATTTAATTATTTTCAGATGACACCCTAAACATTCAGGACCACCAACAATAATCACAACCAACCAAGGGCACTTGAACAAAAAAATGTACAAAATTATATCGTTATGTCTGATGCTGGGGACAGCAACCAGTATTCACAATACAGATACATGGAATCCCTTCCAACAAGATTTCCAAGGTTCCACAAAATTTTTGCCATCTCCGTCAGGTTTAGAAGGACCTTCACATACAGGGTAAGGACTTATGTTTTCATTATCTCATCTCAACTCGAAATGTTCCATTAATAGAAGTCAATGAATAGTTTCTCATCCTCCTGAATGGTTATTACTATTCAAAAACATTAGTTGGAGAACCCTGTATACGGGTGGTTCATCAAGAATGGGCATCTCTGAACTAGAGATAGTAAATAGCAAAATATGAAGATATTTCCTAACATGACTAATAAGAAGGTTGGTGGTTTAGTTGAGTTTGCAACACCGTTTCAAGTTTTGACAGCGTGAACATGACATTTTGTGGTTTTAGGTTTTCTGACATGAGAAATACGAATTTATGACTTATTTTGTGATTGCTCATAGAGGGCGCTGGTGGCATCCTGTTACTTCGGTAAATTACATCATATCTTCGTTGTCCAATGAATGATGATTACAATAAGTGGAAAACATGAAATCTTGTACAATTTTACATGAATGCATGAACTATTTTTCAAATTGTCTGATCCCAACGGTTTTTACGTTATTCGCTCATGAAGTGGTTTGAATCTCACTTTAAACATATTTATTTTTCAAAATATGAAGTTAGCAAAATGAAAGTGGAAACAAGAGCAATAAACAAGTAAGACAACCACTAGCAACGCCAAAGACCGACAGAGTTTCAAAGTAACCAAAGATATGGATACATTTTTTCTTGGACAACAATTTCATGATTCTTCATATTCTGCTGTTCTATCTGTAGTTCAGAGATTACCCATAATCAATGAATCACCCTTGGTTATTTCAATCAGATAACTCTGACGTAATAATAGTGCTTTCGTAAAGTATACCAACATACATTCGTTTTCAGCAATCCCTTCCTGAGTAATCTCCTGAAACAGCTGAATTTTTTAGCCCAATATGCTTCATTTATAAAGAAGGATTTGATATACAGGGTGATCCACGTTTGAATAATAGCGTCCGGGATTTTTTCAAACTTTCAGAATCCCCATGGAAAAAGCTGAGTTCAAAAAATTATAATCTCGTGATCAAGTCCTGCATAATAGTCCAGAAAGACAATGGCAGGGCAAGCGATACTTTTCAGAATGTTGCGGTAGTGTATTTATTTTAACTATAATACGTATATAAGTGGAAGTAGCTCAGTTTTCCTAAGTATACCTACCATAATAATGATTGTTATTAACATTACCACAAACTCTAGAAACATGTTTTTTGCATAATTTTCAAGTGGGTATCCCTGTCTTCCTACGCCATTGCTATGGAATTTATTGTCCACACTTTCAGCGACGATGTGTCTCCATTTTTATGCTGAATAACGCTGAATAATTTGTTAAAACCTCTCTTGTTTTTTCTCGTACTTTGATCGTATTACTCAGGATATTAGCCATACAGTTATGTAACAGTGTTCTATTTTGATTTCATCCAGTCCGATCATCCTGTATGAAAATTTTAACGATTTTCTAGGTACCAACAGGGCGCCGTGTCAGGCAGTGACCAGTGCGAGGTATACAAAGTAGGTTTCACGCAGGATCTTTATTTCCAATACATTCAGTACAAGACGGAAATCCCTGATTTGAAGCAGTTCACGTTGTGCCACTGGACAAAATACTATAATCACAGCAATGATCATCCAATTTTTTCATATGCAGGTAAGAACATGTCCATTCAGGATTGTATATTTTACTGGGAAATAAAAATACTTTCAATCTCTCATGATATACTGGTATATACGATGGTATGGTACCAGTATATCACCTGACGAAGCTACTGTGTTAGCGAAACATGTCGTGTGTTTGAGAATTTTGTGGAAATCTTATCGTTAGTGAAGTTTTCACATCTGCCATGAATTTCCATCAAATAACGGCAGAGTCAATTAAAACAAAAACAAAGTTAACATTTTGAAACTAGATTACCGCTTTGGGTACGAAAGTGTCTTTCAAGATTTTCTTGATTATTTTATCATCAGTTCCACTCCTGAAGTTCATAAAATAGTATACAGAAACGATGGGATCAAAATCAAATGTCCTATCTATTAAGTGCACTGGGTGTCCCATTTGAAAAAATTCAACATTTTGACATAATTTGTGAACGCAATGTTCGATTTTTCTTTCGATTCGAGTGACATTGTAGCTCCAATCATAACCAAGTTAGCAGATAGTGCCGACTCAAGTTTGAAGACCCTGTACATGTACCTCAGCGAATTGCAAACTTTTCGCATCGGCATTAAAAGTGTCACTTTAGTCAATGGGTTTATAATCTATCATTAAAATCAGGTGACTTATTATTTGATATTCAAAATGTCATCATTCGATCCTTCCTTCTTGAGACTTAGGATACTGATCATGATCAAGCTATAAGTTTTCATGAATACAAATCATCCCTATTTCGTTTCAAATATTCTATGAAAGTGTATCATGTCCTACTGGATGAAAATCCTCGATGAAAATACCACAATTTATGCCTGAATTAATTATGGTTCTTGCAAAATAAAGAATTTATTGCATGAAAACTTGCTTTGAAGCTTTGGAGCGAGTAAGCTGTGAGAGCAATTTTCAATAGTAATATTACGATGTTCTAAATATTCGAGATAAATCAGTCGATTTGTCATTCACGAGTGATATTGTTGTGCTGCAACACAATTGAGACAACAATAAGAGACAGAATTATAAAAAGAAAATGAATTCAGAACATACTTAGTGGTACTTTATATTTCACGAAGCATAAGAAGCATCCATTACAGACATGAACGAGTCATTATAACCAAAGCGATTCATTTCATCATTTTTTGTAAAATTTTTGAAAACACCAACACAAATCAGAGTTCGAAAGACAGCCTCTGGTTTGTGATTGGTAAGATTATGAGAGAATTTGACAAAACGAGTGAAAAAGTGAAGAGAAAGAAAGGAAATAAATAGAGGGAGACATGTAGCAACAAAGAGAGGGGGAGAGAAAAAGAACGTGCTCAGATTCAAAATCTACCTACTTTATAATTGATTTACGATTGTATTTGATAACATCGACCTATAATCATATATGAAATGATCTGATATTGCGACATATCATTGAGTCATTTGGGCAATTAACTCGATAGAAGGCGCTAATTGAGAATGTCTGATAGATCCCCATAATCCACTAAACATTCACCTCGATTGTGATCTACAAATTTTATTATCATAATACTGCTATAATATTCCTACTCAATGTTACTTTCCATCAATTCACTAACACTTTAGGTGTGACTCGCCTGTTTTTACGAGAATAAACTTTCATTTGAATAATTAGGTATATTATCGTCAACAACCAATCAACCATACCTGTAGACAATGGCTCAGTACATATGTTCGACAATTAAAAACAATTCTATGTTGAATGAAAACTAGCGGACACACAATTCTCAATTTGAAATTCCAGAATATGCGATGTGAATAATAAGATGTGTTCATTATAATAAAAATAATAAGAGATATGCATTCAATTTTCTCGACATATTATTTTCTGGATAGCATCAAAACTTGGTGACTCATCCAAGAGACTTCCGCCGGGTCTTCGTATCAAGGAAAATGATGTTTCGTTTGTATGTATACATATAAACATATATGAACCAATCTATATTGTAGATTGCATACGAAATGTCAATATCGTGAACATACAATGGGATATATATACGTGGAATTGGGAAAACCACTAATGAGAATTTCATGCTCTCGATCAAATATCCTCAGCATAGAATGTAATAGATTTTGAATCAAATTGAGGAGATATATAGACTTCCAAACAAAATTATACGAAATGGTTAACAAGATAAGGGTGCACCGCATGGGATCTCGAAAACAGTACTTTGAGGAAATAATTTCTCATAGGCGTTGGTGAAATATTATACGCTAATTAACCCTATAGAGCGGGTGTCCATCGTCCTTTCAACTAACGCAATGTCATACGATTCTTCAGGAAACCAGCGCTTATGTCACAGTTATAATTCCACTTGTAGATCCCCCGTCATCTCAACTTGCACAAGCCTTCCGAAGGCTTCTAGGGGTTGTTTCTAATTTATTTTTCATCTAATCTCCATTGTATTTTGTTCAAGTTGATGGCCAACCAAGAGCCATCTACTCCTGGATCTCGAACACTGATCGGTCCAGCTACTTCAGTATGTCCGTGGCAGGTCACACCTTCTACAGGCTGAACTATCCCTTGCGTCTCAACAGATGGTACCATACGTGCCAAAGTTGGAACGGAAAGACTGGAGAATGGCAAGTGTGGGTCAACGCTGAGAGAGTGGGAAGAGGGTTCCATAACAGAGTGAGTGCTTTCACAATTCAGTGTCATTCTAATGAAGATCCGTATGTTGGCTTCACTGTACTAAATCAAGCAGCTATGAATAAGTCTTATTCTGGTCTCAACGGAGGGTTTCTGCATTCAACAGCACACTCACGAATAAACACCGTAGACCGTGGACAATTGTTTTTCGCCAATGACAATTGTTCGAACTGTGTATAAAGAGATTTACGTGGCAAATATTAGCGAACAATTCGCAGCATCATGGAAAACATTTTGGGATTCGTATATTTTGGACTTATGCATTGAGCGGTCGTTAAGTGAGCCAGAGCATGAATGTTTCGTTGCAAATTATACACATTTTCATATTGTCAGTGACTTGATTTGAAAGTGATGCCAGCATAGAAGACTCAAATTGGTCTAGTCTTTACTATTGAAGAATTTGAAATTGAAATTTACTCCGGGGTTTATCATAGGACACTTTGGAAGGGTCTTCTACTGAGCACCATATCAGGTAGATAGATCTACTAGTTGAGATTTCGAAACTTTGAATTTTTGTGCTGTGGTATGATACCCCAAAGTACCGACGAGATGTTGAGAATCATCGAAAAAAACTCAAAGAATGCGCTCCTGAAGCCAGAATATCTTCAAGATACTAAGGAAAAAAATCGGGAGTCCAGAATATCTTCAAGATACTAAGAAAAAAATCGGGAGTATCGAAGTGAGAACTGGAATAATTTTTATATTGTCAGTCGAGCAAAAGGTGCATTGTATATAATATCACATGTCATACTGAAGAACTTTGGGAAAAGGGAGAGTAATCCAGTAGTCGTTCTTTCGTCACACCTACTACCTACTGGATAATATCAAAACTTACATAATTTATACATTTTGTAAAGATCAAGAATGTCATCTTGAAGGTAACAGTGCATTTTATGCAAAATGGTTACTAACGCTATGAATAATAGGTACCTACTTCTTATTCCATCTAGCGCTATTTTACTACGTCTAACGCTTTTCTGGTTATATACGGTTTTTCCAGAGTGCAGTTTGACAAATTTATATTGTTTATTTTTGTTGCAGTTGGTGGGTCATGTGATACCAGGACGTGGTATAGCGATCACTGGACAAGGACAGAGCCAACTCGGTGGAGGATTTCAAGAAGGTGCTGAAGCACCAAAAGGTTGGTGTTGATCTGAATCTCCTATGGTTGGATGTGGTTGGTGAATTATTTTGTAGCTGGTTGAGTGGAAAATCCACTGACCATATTCCACTTGGAAAAGTTGGATGTTTTGTTCGATTCGTTGACAGCAATTACTGTCAAATTTGGTGTAATTCGCCGAATACCTTGTCTTTTGTCTATGTCAATGGAATTGTACACACTAGTCGAATTTACGCCATATATCTTTCATATTCTCATCATTACATGTATCAAATTTGAATGATACAATTAATAATTCAAAATCATCACGAATATTTTTTTCAATAATCAAAATAATCACCTTTCAAGAACGCTGTCTCTCGATGACGTTACATACCTTAAGCAATACTAGTGTCTTATTGCTCAACAAATATGATAATTCTAAAGGTGGCGGCAATCATATTCACAGTTGACTTTTGACACTTTCATAGCCAACCTCACAATACGATATGTCTAACCCTTGAAAATATGGTCAATTGCCAATTTCAATCAAATATGCATTTTATTTTCCGTCAGAAAAGCACTTCATTATCATTATTATTGAATCTTTTATGATATTTTCATCTATTCTGCCAGACAGCATTTCCTAATTCTGTTTGAATGTTCAGTAAATAATTATAGGTATGAATGTTTGGGGATAATAGCAATTACTGAATATCCTGTGTATAAAGGCCAAAGGGTGATTCAAAATGCGATGAAAATATTTTAAGGACGTATTGTTGGGATTAAAATAAGACTTTTTCTTTATATGAACCTTAAATGCACTTTTTTTCGGCCAATAAAAGTGAGGACCTCACTCCAACCCCCCAAACAGGGTTTACATAATTTTTGAAGAAAGAATGAAATAAAGTGTTTATGAGGACAGAAGCCTGCCAATTTTCAGGAGATTTGATCCGTTATTTAAGTCACAATTTCAGAATATACTTATATATTTTTCTTTACTTAAGTCACAGTGGCTGTAGCTTGGAGGGGGGCAATTTAATATGAAGAAAAAGTCTTATTCTGATCCCAACATTATGTTCTTGGAGTATTTACATCGAATTCTGAATCACCCTGTATTTACGATGAACGTAAATTAACACTAAACTACGGAAAACATTGTTTGAGAAGATCTCTTGAACTCATCATGTGATTATATTGTGATCAAAATCTAAGTCATTTGTAATGAAATTGTTGTAAGCATTATTCTTCAATCCGATCAATCGTCTTGTGATTAACGAATTGCTTCGATACTCTGGAATGTCACAGGTTTAGAACGAATCTCAATGTGTTCGGGGGAGAGATTTTATTCTAAATTTTCCAAATTATCTTTCAACAGCGTGAACATACAGTTTAGTGGTTTCAGTTTTTTGATTTGAGAAATTTGAATTTGTGACTTATTCTGTGATTGCCCATCATAGTTACCTAATACTAGTAGCACTTAGTTACTTCAGTAAATTAGATTATATATGAATCTGGAGGCTCGTTCAATTTTACATAAAAAATGTTTTTTTAAGTTGTAGTTTTTGCGTTATTCGCTCGTGGAAACATGTCGTCTACTTAATAAATTTTCATCATTGTGAAAGATGAAGTTAACGAAGTGACAATAGAGGTAATTTGTTATTGATGACAATAAATCATCAACAACAAACAGAATTCCAAACTAAATGTTTGGAATGTCCACCATCTACCTGAATATATTCATTGAAATGCTTTCTTGGAGTCTTTAGAATATCATAGAAAAAGAGTATGTTTTCTCTGATTGCATTTGCGACTTCTTGTATTTCCTATCAATCGTATGTCGATCCTTTCTTATTTTTCTTCATGAACTACATATTTCTTGATTTTTTTACCATATTGTCGTATAATTCAATGGGTTCAGATCTGAGAGTGATTTACAAATTCCGTAATGACGTCTTTCCTTTGAAGACCCAGTAACTCCAGTAACATTTTTCTAAGAAGTTGGGCTGAATCTTCCTATATTGGTGTTCACTATTTGTAGTTCAAAGATCACCCATTCTGATTCCTGGCTATGATTATTCTAATATTTCAAAAGGAATAATCAATGAATACTGTCTGTAGGTTAATCGAGGAGGTGGTACATTCATTTTACTTGGTTCTTTGGGATTTTCTCTCCTCGTTTCTATAAAATAAAAGTATTCGTATTATTTCAATATATTTGTAGAGCAGAATAGGTCCCGAAACGTCCAAAGATAAGTACAAATTCGATATTTTTTCAATATATCTATATTTCTTTCCTTCAAAAATTTTTTCAAACAAATTGTCACTGACAAGCTACTGGATTTTTCTTTTAGACTCCCTGATAGAAAAATTTGTTAAACGCAGTGACATTTTGGGGCAAATCATCTGATTTGTCCCTCTACAAATATATTGAAATAATACGAATACTTTTATTTTATAGAAACGAGGAGAGAAAATCCCAAAGAACCAAGTAAAATGAATAATCAATGGTTGAGAAACATCTGAAGCTCATATTTAATAAAACAAGTGGATTGATGCAGATCGAAAAAAAAAATCTTTCGAGAAGAATAGGAATTTTCGATAATTTTATCAATGAAACGAGATGTATTTGTAGCTCATACTTGCTTCAGAGGAGGGTGTTCCAAAAAGATAGCGCAGAGCTATGCGGAAAATATAAAGTTGGTATAAACTCCCTATAGAGAAAATATGTCACATTATCTCCATAGGGAATAATACGAGACTTCTGCCCCTCTATTGTTACCAGAGAAACTAACTTCTACTTCCGCCGGCATAAAAAAGTCTTTCTTTCGTGTTTTTTTTTTTTCAGCTCTCTCATATTCTATTTAAATTTTATCATAAAATTTGTAATATCAACCGCCTGAACGGGCTCGACATAAAAAAAGAGAACATTTAGCTAGAATACGAGGACAGCAGTCTTGAAAAAGATAAAAATAGTACAGTTGTATGCATATACAAGTCGAACACTAGTTATAGGCTATTGTGTATCAGGCTTGGCTATCTTGATCGATCCTCTTATCGACTTTGATGAGTAATGTCAAAATTCGAACAATTTTTGTCGGTAACGCGCAAGTGTGTACGTGTTCTACTTTTCAATGAAATCTGGAAGATCATAGGCAGGTTTACACCATACAAACCTTGTACGAATTGTTTATGCACACAACTGTACGTCTGGTGACCCCACACCCATCTCCTACACATAGTCCAGTCATTATAGACTTTGACCCGTGAATAATTATTTAGTGGTTTTTTTTTTCATAGGTGTCTCGGGGGGGTCACTGGGAGTGTAAATTCAAAATGGCGACCAAATCAAGCTTTTGCGTATGTTCGAAAACTGTTTTTTTTTTTGTTAAAAAACGGTTTTTCTTGAATAACTCGGCCATTTTTGATTCTACAGAAAAAGTTTGTAGTATATTTGGTTCTCTACAAGTTTGGTCCCTAGAATTTTCCTGATAGGATCGATATTTTGTAAATTAAAAAGCGACAAATTCGAAATATTTTCATTATCATTTTCATTTTATTGTATACAACTTTCGCCCCATTTGTTGCACCTGCAGAATTGAAAAAGAGGAGATATTGCGAATATTTCTGAATGGGTACATATTTTCTGGTTAAATTCCGAAAATATCGATTTTCGGAAAAACAGGTGGAGACCAAATTTGTCCAAAATTTGATTCTCTACAAGTTTGTTTCTTCTCATTTATGGTGTAAAGTTGAGAATAAACGAGATAATGATGATATTTCGAATGAGTCGTTTTTTTAGGTTTAATTCCGAAAATATCGATTTTCGAAAAAACAGGTGAAGACAAAATTTTTCCAAAATTTGATTCTCTACAAGTTTGTTTCTGTTCATTTATGCCGTAAAGTTGAAAATAAACGAGATAATGAAAATATTTCGAATTTGTCGCTTTTTTCGGGTTTAATTTACAAAATATCGATCCTATCAAAAAAATTGTGAGGACCAAACTTGTAGAGAACCAAATTTACTACAATTTTTGTCCCCAAACTTATTCTGTAGAATCAAAAATGACCGAGTTATTCAAGAAAAACCGTTTTTTAACAAACAAAAAACATACGCAAAAGCTTGATTTGGTCGCCATTTTGAATTTACACTCCCAGTGACCCCCCCGAGACACCTATGAAAAAAAAAAAACTAAAAAAGTATTCACGGGTAAGGTCCGTTAAATGGATATAATGACTGGACCAACAACCCCCGATTCTTGCAGGTTCCGGCGGCATGCTCGGCGAAGTCACCATGCTGCAGCTCTACAGCGTCGCCCTCACAGCCGGCAAGGCCCACAAGGACCACAAGCACCACCACGCGCACCAGTTCGACCACAACGGGCGCGCCATCACCACCCCCGCCCCCACCACCCCGCGCAACAAGTCGCCGCTGCCGCAACACCCGCTGCTGACGGGCGGCCAGATCAACACGGCGGTGAGGGTCAATTTGGCCGGGCCGCAGACGGTGCAAGGGCAGCAGTTCGACGCGCGGTTCTTGAACGGGCAGTTCGTGGGCAATGTGGTGACGCAGCAGCTGTCTCTCGGCAAGAGTGGGCAGCCGCTTTTTCAACCGCAGGATCAGGTGAGGAGAATGATCTGGGCAGTGTTATAGCCATAGGTGGCTAGAACTCATTCAGCCACTCATCCAGCCGACTTTGATCAGAGAAGATCTTTCACAGAGACGAATGCGTACACCACCCACGAGGTGGTTTGAAATGTTATGCGGTACTTCAAGATGATAAATTCAAGTAGAAATGAATAATAGCTATTCAGACATCAAGGGAGGAAAAACATTTGATTCCTAAGGAATGTATATAGTTTTTCTACTGCCTTCAAGGTCGTCATTTTCATAATGTCCTGAAAATCATATTGCGTATATACGGATGAGAACAACTACTGCACGAAGTTGTTGAACTATGCGCGACTATATTACGAAATATCAAATAGGTGTTGCGTCGTCATCGTATGATATTTCTGGTAATACTAACTTCATAACAGCTGTTATAAGCTGTCACATTGTTCACTCTTTAAAGTTGAGAATGAGTTCCAGCAAAAACGACCTGCCAAAGTATATCGCTGAATAGGCAAAACTGATTTTGATAAGGAATAAAGTGTGTTTAAGAAACTGTTCGAAAAGCGCGGAGTACAAAAAACTCTTCGAAAATGTCACCCTCGCAATTTTTTCGCAGCGATCAAGAGAATTGAAACCATCAACATCATTAAGCAAATATCCTATGTCACGATCAGTACTAAGCATTGGGAAAAATATAGACATCGAGTGTCCAAAATTAATAATATTCCTCAAAAGAGAAGTCAGTGGTTACTTAGAGGGAGGAGAATGTTTGTTCTTAGGAAGAAAAAATATTTTCCTCCTAGAGGTTAGGGTTAATTAAGCCCCGCTGCTGACGGGCGGCCAGATCAACACGGCGGTAAGAGTCAATTTGGCCGGGCCGCAGACGGTGCAAGGGCAGCAGTTCGACGCGCGGTTCTTGAACGGGCAGTTCGTGGGCAATGTGGTGACGCAGCAGCTGTCACTCGACAAGGGTGGGCAGCCGCTATTTCAACCGCAGGATCAGGTGAGAAGAAACTGATCAGGGCAGTCGCTGAGTGAGAGGAATCTAGCCATCTGTGGAAGGGCCATAGGTGGCTAGAATATCTCTCATTCGAGCAACTCCGATCATGGAAAATCTTTGACAGCGGCGAATGCGTACACCACCCACGGGGTGGTTTTTAAATGTTATGCGATACTTCAAGATGATAAATTCAAGTAGAAATGAATAATAGCTATTCAGATATCAAGGGAGAAAAAGCATTTGCCTCCTAAGGAAGGTATATAGTTTTTTCACTACTTTCAAGGTCGTCATTTTCATAATGTCCTGAAAATAATATTGCGTATATTTTATACTTATGAGAACAACTACTGCAGAAAGTTGTGAAACTATGCGCGACTATCTTACAATCCTCTGTTGCCATGATATTTCTGGTAATGCAAATGTAATATAACATAAGTTGTCACGTTGTTCACTTTTTTAAGTTAAAAATGAGTTCCAGCAGAGACGACCTGCCAAAGTATATCGCTGAATAGGCAAAACTGATTTCGATGCATCTTAGTCCTGATGAATCGAGACAGCGATGTGAAAAGGAATATAGTGTGTTCAAAAAACGGTTGGAAGAGCGCGGAATACAAAAAAACTCTTTGAAGATGTCACTCACGCAATTTTTTCGCAGCGAGCAAGAGAATCTCTTGATGGAGATTATGAAACAAATATAGTATGATACAATCAGTAGTAAACGTTGTCCAATATTAATAGCATCATATTGATATTGAATTTGGAAGTATTAATTGTTTTTTTATGTCTCGCTTCTGAAGTTTCATGGTGCCAGTATGGTTGGAGACTGATAAAGTATCAGATGTTCGAAATTATACCCATTGAGGTTATTGGGCAATCTCAATAGGTGTCTTGAGAGCACATTCATCAAAATCTGGAGTGAAATCATTACGAAAGTAATACAGCAGACAAGAACATTTGATTTTCAATTGTCAAATCAGATAAGAATGTGAAACTCTGAAAATCCAGTGACGTACAATGATGATATTCACCATTTATATCGACAAGTTAACCCACTGATACATCATTGGAACTATTATTTCGAATCTGATAACACCAGAAGAAATTTCATGTTACTTACTAATAACAAAACTACCAATTTCATTGAAATTGGGAAATAGGCTTCCAAGTAGGTAATCAATAACAAAAAGATTTTTTTTGACATTGATACCCTGCATCTCGACAATGAAACAAGTTAGGGCAAATATTCTTCTATGCACTCTTATTTATGAGATATAACAAGGAATCATCCTCTGAATTATATCGCATTCATGCATTCAAAGCCTGTACTTTATTTGAATCAGAACGATGGGAGGAACCTCTCGTCGAAATATTCAATGTTGAATCTGAACCATCCTTTCTTGTAAACATCACTTCACTTTTTACTCGACAAAATCTTTAAATCAATACAATAATAGAATTCACCTTCAGTCACAGGTCCAACAGCTACAACTCCAGCCTTCATCAGACGACACATCCTTCTCAACCCAGTTCATCACCTTGGGGGACACCCAAATCATAAACAAGGACTTCAGCCATTCTGCGCACAGCTCAGATCCCTTCCTCTCCACTCACAGCCTCTTCAAACGACAAAACGACGAAGCTCCAACCGAGGCCGAAACTTCGGATGATCCCAAGAAGGAAAAACGCCAGATATCTGTAGTCGGAGGACACTTCATAGACACATCTCTACTATCTTCGACTTCCGATGCCTTCGATCAAAGTCTGCTGTATGGCTTGGCAGGTATCGGCCAGAACGAAGCTGTTTCCGAGCAACAGAAGCAGTCGGAAGACGAGAGGGAGCCGGCGGAGGCTGAGGTCAAAGCTGTGCTGAATATTTGCACAGGGTGTGACGAGGAACCCTTTGATAAGGCTCTGGTGATCGGTTGGAGGACAGTGCCGAAGAAGTTGTATTCGGGAGCGTTCTACACACCTGCTATTCCACAATGTAAGGTGTTTTGATAGGGTTTTATAATGATTGTGAATGTGGCAGTTGAGGAATAGGAATAGTCTCGCTCTAAAGACACGAGATAATATGTGAAGAGTGTTGTAGTAAGCACCGACTTACTTAACATCATCAATTCAACCTATAATTATTATTATGCTACTCGGGTATAAAGTTTCGTTTTACTGAATACAAGAAGATAGGATGATTCCTCAATAATATATTACACAACGAGGTGAAAAGAGATTCATTCCTGTCGTGAGATTAGTTAGGTAACCAAGACGCAAAGCTATAATCTCGAGACAGGAATGAAACTTCCTACCGATGTTTGTATACTATTTCATTTACAACCATATTTCGATCAAAAGTAATGAATCTCTGTTTCGTTCTGAACATATCTTAGATTCAAAATTGAAATGAGGGCAAGAAGTTATGGCGGGAAGTAGAGGTGTGTAATGTGATACTTCCCAACCTTCAATGACATTAGTAATGACAACATCACATATATGGTCGTAAATAAAAAGTTTTTGTCTTAATTGTTATTGTGACTTATATAAAATAACATCAGACATATAGTGAATATATACAGTGCATATACTCGAACCAGATATCATTCTTGATAGTAGATAAAATCTTTCACGAACCTTCAGCAAATCGCACCTGGGTTACATTTATGGAATAATGGTAAATCGATTCGAAATTGTCCATCAAGTTTCATTACTCCCTAAATCGAAATATGTAATGAACGAAAATATTACAATCTAAAAGTTTTATTTGAACTTCTTTGCCTACTATCTATGACACTATGTATACTGACTCACATCAACATCTTATTGAAGCAATTGTTTCCAGCAATTCTAATATCTTCAGATAATCTATGATTCGGCCCACCCCACCCTGTATTTTATATGCGATATGAGATCAATATACTACTCTCTGGAACACATCCTCAATATAATTCGCGAGAAAAAGTATTTCTCTACACATTTTGTATATTGTCATTTTCTTGTTGTAAATTAAACACACTTGCCCATCTTATTTCTAACAGTGCCTTCACATCTCAAATTTTTATAATTAGGACATGTCGAGAATGTCCAGGCACTATATTAATCTCAACAGAACGATCAATATTTTCATTAATTGTAACTATAAATTGCAACCTTGTAAGTATTCATGTTCTTAATGTATGTTCTACCAAAATTAGGTATCATGTTATCCCTTTTTGTTCCTTTCATTTAATGACTTTGTATGTTTGTAATTGCATCCACGTGTTAATTTCTTCACTCTCTCCGGCAAGCATGTATTGATGAGTAATAATTTAGTTTGTTTTATATTGATGTGTAGTATTTATATTATAATGTAGATTGTTATTTTGTATAATAAAAGATAGAATCAGATAAGCATATTCAAGATTGTTTCTTTGAAATGAGGGTGCAATTTCTCACCTTGCTTTTATGGATGTGTTGGTGCTGATACTCGGAATCGAACTCTGGCTCAGAGAAGTAGCTGGGATCCTCGAAGTGCCCCACACCACCAGCTATCCCAATGCCGGCCATTGGAAGGCCTCCAGATACATCTGCAGATTCGAAGAGCCTCAAGACAGACCTGTCACGAATCTCACGAAGATGCGACCTGAAATGCATCAAGCAAGATTATTTTTCTAGTTTGCGTCTTTAATTGACTCATTATGACCCCCAAATGCGTATCGAAACAGATAATATTAGGACACGCTGAATTTCTTTTTTCAAAGTTGGTAATGGTAACGTCAATCAGTCGAACACTGTCTAGAGACAGGACGCGACAAATTATTTATGCGGACGTAAGTCTACAAAGAGTTTTTAGGCTGAGAGCTTTCTATTACAAACTAGGGCTCAGCTCAAAAACGCGAGAAAAAACTGAAGACAGCAGAGAAAATAACCTCAAGAAAGAACAACAATAAAAAATACCTATATAATTATTCATATTATAGATCTGGAGAACGATGTTTTCATGTAATCAATCGTTGTTGCTTTGAATGGTGCAATTGTTATATACTTCAACTCTAACAGGTATCTTGAGCATTCATTAATAAATTTGCTGATGAGTTTTGATGGGCTGCTGTTGACACAAAATTGTGCTCATTATGATCAGACATTCAGGTTATTGCTCGTGCAATGCGACTATGAGGTAGGGGAGAGGCATCAGAATGTCTAGAAGTTGAAGGCTGAGAAAAAAACATTTGGGCTGCCTCAATTTTCCTCTTGAAAGATTCGCTTGTCAAACAGAGTGTCTCTTTTGATCCTAATAAAACAATCTACTATTGTTGCAGTCGTTCTGAGCTATATGCGTATTCACAGTACATATTGTTTGCAATTTTTTACATTTTTCATGCTTACCTATAGCTAATGTTATATACTCACAGCTATTTTGATTTTCTCACTATCTTTTGTTTTTTTTTGTTGTTTTACGTATTGAAAATTTCATCCCAATTGGTCAAGCCGGTTGGTAGTTGACGTACCGACAACAGCGTCACCTAGCGCATCCAATTGTTTTTTCTTTAATCATCCAGGAAACCATTTAAAATTTCAACCCAATCGGTTCAGCCGTTTAGAAGTTATGTGACAAAGAAAGTACGGAAGAACAATTCTCACTACCCGTTGTCCTATTACCCGTTTTACCGAAGCAATGTAGCATTTTTTGTGGTGAAAAGTAGTTCATCAGGAATAATGTTGGCTTCTAATAGTAAAAGAATTTTTCAAATCGATCCAAATTTTTCGGAGCCTATTCAATACAAATCATATTAGTATAGATTACCCAATGAATACAGTGAAGGAAGCAAAATGGACATTCTTGTGATGTCCAATAGATATTCATTATCCAACGACAGTGCTGAAGAGTTAGGGATATCAGATGTGGATACTTTGTTGTGCTCAAGAAGATATTATATGTTAGAGGATTACGTCCTTTCGATACGTTCCTGTGGTACCTATCTCTGGCATTATTTGTGCGTTTTATATACGTATATGGATCTAAACTCCCATTCTAACAGAAGTTCAGAATTATATTTTTGATATATTTTTTTTGTGTACTTCGACTTAGATGACCAGAATTTGCACTAGAATGTAAGAGCTTTGTACTCGAGTTAAGAATATCTTAGGAGAGTTCCAGTCAGGAGAGCCTTGCTATCGCTGAAGAAATATGATTGAATAGCTTCTTCAATTATTTGGTGACGGATATTATCTTGCTCGCTCTGATTGAATATCTTACCTTAGGTCTTCCAGCTCGTAGAACATATCCTTGGAGGAGTCGTGGATGTAAATTTTGACGTTCGGGGAATCCAGATACTCCATGGAGAGTTGCTTGGGAAACGATCGGACGAACAACGCTTTGACAGTATCTATCGAAGTTATTTCGTTTGGCAGTAGCGCTCGCTTTGTTTCGTTGCGATATTGAAGGAAAACTAATCCTGCAAAAAAATATAACAAAAAATGTGCTATCACAACTCCCAACTCACAACTAATAAGATACTGATTCCTTGGAGGTTATATTCATAGATCATGAGCAATTGCGTATATACATGTATATGGATTGTTCTGTAAACTATGTAACCATTGGTGTCGTCGTATTGGATATGGAAAGAAAAAAAGTGAACAAGAATCGAGTATAACAAGCTGATAACCTGAATGAGCTGTTAAATCCTCGAACAAAAAACCAAGTTTCAGAATTTTAGTGCCAAACACACTATACGTTTTGACTTTGAATAATCTCAGTAAGTTCTGAAACTTTCAACGCAGTGCCTCTTTTGAACAGAAAAATGCGTAGGGCAACTAACAATGGTATCCTTACTGAAAAACTCGAGAGCATATGGTAGCCTGCAATGATATGAAAATCATAGGAAAAGGAGATAACAACCATAAAAGAATCCGCTTGCATTCTTCTGAACGGAGAAAATTAAATTTTATCATGTTCAGTTGATGTAGATTGAACATGGTATTCACTACTGAAATCTGAACACGAAAATGGAAAATTCAAGATCAATCAATGAGAACATCATGTAACTCACTTGTTTTGCCAACATCATTTGTCATTGAACATTGAATATGAACGTATGACTCAAAAGTTAGGACGTTTAGATCATATGTTCATATAAAACTTTCTCCACCCTGTATTATATATTATATTCACCATTTTAGAGTTGGAATTAGGAGCAGATTCGTTGCCGAAACGTCCAGAGCTGAGTGAAAATTTGATATTTTTTCTATATGCATGTCTATATATTTTTCAAACATCGTTCAAACAAGGAGTCATTTATTGAATTCCTCTCTCTAGGTACCTAAGAATGAGATAGTCAAACGCAGAGACATTTTGGTGCATATTGAAATAATACTCATATTCTGATTTATAGAAATAGGGAGGGAAATTTCAATATATCGCAGCCGCAACCTAACGACAGAGCCAAAACAGTCGACATCTGTTGAAAATCTCCCAGAATATCTCTGTCCCGATGTGACATTTTCTCTCTCTTTCCGTGCCACCATGCTGGAGCAATATCAGACATCCCTATCATTGTTATATTACTTGATCATTCATGATGTTTGTCTTGTGTGTTGTAGTGAGATAGAGTACCTTCTTGACAAACCAATATAAACTACTCAACACTAATTTCGTCGCACACCAAAATATCGCCCCTGTTATACTGTGAATAACTTTTTTTAGTTTAGAACAATTCGAATTTGGTTCACACTGTTCGATAGCCCAGTCCTTCAGCTACATTCTCGTACTTCATTGAAACATAAGTGTATTCACAAAAAATCTCTACATGGTGTTTTCCGACACTGTGCGAAATTTCGGAATATTCAAAAGGCTCTCAAATGGTGAAAAAAAATGTTTTCTCAACTTCGACAACAGAGGCATGAAGATGATCTCATTACCTCGAGATATTTCGCGAATCAACTTCCTATCTCTATTATTTACAGAGTGATCTCAGAAAATCAACTTTTTGGTTTTTTAGCCATAACTTTTTTCCACGTCAACCGATTTTGGAAATCTTAGGCTCATTTTGAAGATAACACTTCAGATGGAGAGATCTGAATATCAGAATTAACTCAAGGTAGCTATCAAAGATCTAGAGTTTTCTTGAAAGAGACCCAAATCTGGAACGCCCTCCGAATCTCGGTTGGGAGGAGAATTGAATGAAAATCAACTTGTTCTCGGAAAAACAATTCATTCTGGATGCGTCCATATTCTCCTCGCTCTCAGTAGTCAAGAATTTTGCGTGAGAAAACACAATTGAAACATGTTCTTGCAAAAACATTAGATCATTTCTCCTCTGTAATGCATGGCCCGCCGTAACCAACGTTACAAGAATCACAATGAGTGACTGACAAACCCGACCAGCTGAGGCTCATCATAAATGGTGTACCAACAAGAGCAACGGATTTTGTTTATTTTTCATAAAGTGATTTTTTTAACAGTTGTCACGTACATAACATGTGATTTAAGAATATGGAAAAGTATTCAAGCGAACAACGTTTATTTATTGTAAAAACGCATTTCAAAAATGGTGAAAGTTTCACAAAAACAGTTTACCAATTACGTAAAGTTTTCAGTCGCAATAATGCCCTTTGAATGGATCGGACTGTCGTGTTTAGCAGATCCGCGATTTGGAGGGAAGATAACCCTTGTTCCCTCATTTGTGGAATCAGTTCCAACTGGTCGGGCGTTAGATGCGGCATCGAAACTATCAAAATCTGTGTATGATTCGAAAACGACGTCTAATCTGAGTTGTCAGTCACTTACTGTGATTCTTGTAACGTTGGTTACGGGCCATGCATTACAGAGGAGAAATGGTCTGATGTTTTTGCAAGAACATGTTTCAATTGTGTTTTTTTACGCACATTCTTGAGTACTGAGAGCGAGGAAGATATGGACGCATTCAGAATGAATTGTTTTTCCGAGAACAAGTTGATTTTCATTCAATTCTCCTCCCAACCGAGATTCGGAGGGCGTTCCAGATTTGGGCCACTCTGAAGAAAACTCTAGATCTTTGATAACCATCTTGAGTCAATTTTGATATTCAGATCCCTTCATCTGAAGTTTTATCTTCAAAATGAGCCTAAGATTTCCAAAATCGGTTGACGTGGAAATAAGTTATGACTGCAAAACCAAAAAGTTGATTTTTTGAGATCACTCTGTAAATAAGAGAGATAGGAAGTTGATTCGCGAAATATCTCGAGGTAATAAGATCATCTTCATGCCTCTGTTGTCGAAGTTGATAAAATATTTTTTTTCACCATTTGAGAGCCTTTTGAATATTCCGAAATTTCGCACAGTGTCGGAAAACACCATGTAGAGATTTTATGTGAATACCCTTTATGTTTCAATGAAGTACGAGATTATAGCTGAAGGACTGGGCTATCGAACAGTGTGAACCAAATTCAAATTGTTCTAAACTGAAAAAAGTTATTCACATTATAACAGAGGCGACATTTTGGTGTGCGACGAAATTAGTGTTGAGTATTTTATTTATCGATGAGCATAAACCGTAAATCTGATGGAAGAGAAAACAGATATTGCCTCTAAATGAGTTCGGAACGTAAATACCGGTCTAATTTATACGATTGAGAATATCTCCAGAAAATCTCGTCTCTTATCATGCCTTGAAATTGAATTTCAGTCTGGCAGAACCAATCAGGCGTGAACCGACCGAGATCCAGAGAATTCTAAATCACTTCCAACCACTTCGCTTCCCTCTTTAGGGTTTTCCTCATTAAAAGTCTGAATCCGTTCGGGGATCGTTTGGTTTCCAAAGTAACCGTTGACCTAACAGTGTTTGTGACGTTTAAACTCCTGGGAACTCGGGAACTAATGGGCTAACATTTACTAGGATGATATACTCAGTGTATACGTGAAAGTGTTCTTAAGAGGTTAATTTTGTTTGGGATAAGACATCTCCAGGGAACAAGGCAACTGAGATAAACAGAAAGACCATCTGCTATAATAGGACGAGAATATATGGAATCGGAACATTTTTGAATTATGTTATTTTTTTATTGAAACCAGATAGATATTCAGCCAGGTATATAAAGTTCCTCAACATAAATAGAAAGTTCTCCACTGTATCATGTGAGAAATTAATTTTTTTCTGAAGATTCAGACAATTATGATTATCTATGATCTTTTTTCGAGTAGATAAAGAAATATCATAGTGCTCACTTTCAAACCTCCACCAATAATGGCTCGAATCTTCGTTCGAATGGAGGTATGCAATGAAGCTAACCTCAATCTAGATCTAAGCTGAGCATGCGAACCCAAAAATGAAATAAATCTTATTATAATGATTGGCGTTCTTGGCACTGCAATATTAATCTGATTTCTCAATTACCTAAATCGAATGGAGCTGTAGAGAATCAACATATCCTGCAGTAATAACTAAGAAGATAGTAGTTAAACGAAATTGAGATGAAGAAATCGAAGTAAGATCGATGATTATTAAACACTATAAGCTTCCTGAACTTCGAGGATAAATAGTGATGAAAATGATTGAATATCTCCATTTCGACCATGAATATGACAAATATCACGTTAAGTCTTGACAGTCTTGGACATAGACCACAGACCACAGTTGATGACATCATCCATTGGGCAAGAACCCTTCTATCAGGAATAAAAATAAACACACTATCTCCAATTGATAGGTCGGTCGTCGCAATGCAAACATTGTATTTGTCAGAGGCATTTTCTTGGAACCAACATGAATTTCAAGATTTTGTTGGATCTATCCATACTTCCACGGGAAATGTTCTTCGGAAATCTCTGCTATCATCCCTTCACTAGCAATAGCAGTCAGACGAACTAGACATGCCCAATCAGCACATCATTTCGTTGTCAACCTCGATAGATGTCGAACAGCACTTTATCGAAACTCCTTCATCCATAGAACGGCTTGGCTCTGGAATTCATTGCCTGAGGAAGTATTCCCAACAACATATAATCTCCAGAAGTTCAAGAAAAATTCCAATACCTACCTCCTATCCCTATCCTCCCCAGGAACGCACGATGTTCTTTGAACATTATAGGGATTCCCTTTCGTGCGATCCAAGCGATAAAAAAAAAATTGCATTCTGGATGTGGGCAGGACTATATTCATAAAAGGTTCCCTAACCGACATGTCGTGTTCTAGAATGGTCAATTCATCATAAGAAATAATTTGTTCAACCTCATCTTACAACCTAACCAAATGAAACAAACTGGGGTTGATATCCGTTCATCTCGTTTAATAAGGAATACCTACTTCATGAGGCAGGATTTAAAAAAATTTGGAAGAGAAGAGAAATGCAGGAAATGCAGAATTAGCAATTCAGTAGATGAAATTTTTGAACACAAATTATAGGAACTAATTATTATAACTGATCCCCTTCAAAATTTCGCCAGACCAATACACAAGACTTTTTTGTGTAACGGTCTCAGGGGTTTGGTGGGTTTACTGATAGAAACGCTGATGGTTCAGGAGACTATTCATTTGCTGAAGTTCACCAGAATCACGTTATTGAGCGAAAGGTTAAAAATCTAAATATAAAATGCACTAATGAGCACCAGGATAGTGAATAACTTAATACAAAAGGTGATGCAATTGCTAATAAGTAAAGAAAAGTAGATAAAAGTAACCGATCGTGACCTGAAAGGTTGATCAAAAAAATACAAAATAGTATTAAGTAGTATTAAAAAGTTTTACACCTACCAAAATATGGAATGCAGGCACAGGCCAAGATGTTCCAAGAGAACATTGGGCACATGGAAAACCAAAAAACACCAAATTCGGGTTCGATCGACGTGGATATATAAATTCTCTTGGTTGAGAAAACTGTCCGTTCAAGATTGCCCAGCGCCAGACATTTCGGAAATCTCCTCTCAGCAATAACTGACCAAGACGTGCACATGGATTTTGAATCTTTTGATAATGAAATGTGGGTTGCCTAGCCTCCTGAAGGAGATTCGGTGTATTATATTCAAAAGAGCATGGGCAGCGACATTGATTTGTTACATCTTTTGATAGTTAGGTACCTTATAGGCGAATCGTAATGTGAAATGAACCTCAAAGTTATTTTCTTACCTAGTGGTCGTTCTAGAGTTTTGCTGGGAGTTCTGACGACAGGCAGCGAACTCCTCTGCTTGCCACCTCTTCGAAAACCTGTGGAGCTGGTCTCAACTTCCGACATGATACCTGGATCGTCATCGAACAACATGGCGTTCGAAGGAGGTGGGTACCCTCGTGGTTGGCCCTAGAAATGTTCCACGTCTCAAATATTATCATCAATCACGAGACATATTGAAAAAAATATTGGTTTTTTGTCACAAAATTTCTAAACTTATTGTGGATAATTTTTGACATGGGTGGCAAATGTATTTGTTCAAAGAGCAGCACTTATTTTCTTGGCTCAGTATCTACGAACATCAGTTTCAGATGATAAAATTACATAAAATTGTTGTTCTATCTTAATCATGAATAGTATGTGTTTATCAAAGAAGGGCCAATTGAAAGTAATTTCGTAAAACGTAAAATAGAAAATTTATGGTCCTGAATGACTGGCCTGATGTAAAGCATTTATTTACTGACCTATGAACAACAAATGGAAGGATAATACATGAGGATGCGCTGAGAACTTTTATGCACAATCAGGCGTAAAGTAGCACGTTACCACCCGATTGTACAGACGAAAAGTGGCACTTTCGTACCCGCGAACTTCTTTATCGCCCGGCAAATAATCAGTTGTGATGGTTCATTATCTGATATCACAGTTCTCTTAAGATTTCTGAGATACAAAATTGTTTATCTTTCATTGGGAAAATAGCTTTCAGTCAGAATAGTATATTGTGTATCTAGTGCGTGAAGTATACTTTTTTACGCGAGTGTGAAAAAGTCTCCACGAACGTGGTGCACACTATACTTTTTCTACGACCTTTTACTTAGAGATTGAATTAAAGGAAAATTTGACTAATTTTCTTTATTACAATAATAATTATTATGAACAGTTATATTGCAATTTTGTAAATTGTCAAAATGTACATTTACTTTGTCTTTCTCTACAAAATTAGTGCTACCTAGACCAGCGACCGGTGTGTGAATTTGTATTGACTCTCATGGCACCGGTGCGTGAAATAAATCCCATAAGAACAGCATGGCACTTCACACACCGATTCGTGAAATGAAGCTTCACACATTTTTATCGATGTGTGAAGTTAGTAATTCACATACGGGAGTAGAAAAATAAAATTCTGGTATAAGAAAGTTAATAACAAACAATAATAATAAAATAAATGCTAAATCCATCAAATCATGAAATACCAACAGGGATCAAAAAGTAGATGGCAAAGTATCAATTTCATCTATTTCGTAATAAAATCATGTGTTTTTTCAATAAAAAATTGGAATTTCGAAATATGTCTCCCAGAGGCGGATTAAATATCGAAAATGCCCTTGGCAAGCATCTCATCAGCGCCCCTCTGGTGGTCCTCAGACATCTCAAATTATAACTACTAACATACAGTTCCTCACACTCAAGATGAAGACACTCCTGTATTTCAGTCATTTTTGAAAGCAGATATTTGATTCTTGGTGCAGATTTAGACCTTCATGGGCCGCCCTTTTCGCACTACTCAAGAGTGACAACCTTAAACCCAGCCTACTGCGATTCTGCGAAAAGGGCAAATTCTCGATATTTTGCTTCGCGTTGAAAACGGGAGGAGAGAGTTGCTTAGCTAGTAAAGGAGACTTGATAAAATAATAATTCTCAATGTAAATTATTTCGATCATCAATTTCATTGACGATTCCATCATTTCTGTAGCTTTTTAGTCAGAACCATCAATCAAAAATCGAACTTGGCTATAAAAATAACAAAAAATTCAAAATTTGGATATGGCGTTGGAATTCGATATATGATGTCAGAATCGATTTCTAAGCAATTTTTTCAAGTAACTCTATATCCGACGCGAAGCAGCATATCTAGAATTTGCCTTGTTCGCGGAATCCCAGTAGGCTCGGGCTGTCACTCGGACTGAGTAGTGCGGCCCATCAAGGTCACCATCTGTACCAAAAATCAAAAATGACTGAAATACGAAGGTGTCTGTACATCTCAAGTGTGTCACACTGTATGTGTTGAGGTTGAAGGAAGTAATAGAAGTACTTATTGTGAATATGATAAGGTTTTTACGATTACCAAATTACACCCGATTCAATAATTCATATATTCATACAATTATACTATGAATACAATTATTTATTTACAATTGGTACCATCATTTCTAACGACGACGAGCCCCTTGAATATAGTTTGCCATAAGGATAATCTACCTCTGATGTTTGCAATTTTTTATATTATGTAGTAATTTATTGAATTCAGCTAGAGCACCCTTTACATCTGTGATAGTTCCTGCTAGACTCCAAGGGTATTGCATTGAAGAAATCAGCCCTCCAAGGAGAATCTAAAATTGCAAGGTGTTCCATTTGAAATATGAAAGTTGCTACTACTTTCTGATATTAGCGGCAACGCTGCTTTGCTGAAAACATTTATTTTCATAGCGACAGACCAAGAGCAACTTAAGGAGCAAGCGGAAGAAGGAGTTATGTTACAAATATGAAATTGTGAAGTAGAGTTAGCTGGCATTTATTAACGGAAGCTAGTTTAATAATTGGATTTATGCAATTGTGAGGAATAGTTCCAGGTTGATTTTTTATGATTCACAGCATTTTGCTATTATATCATACTATTATTATCATTATAGACATCTGGATTTATGCGTACATAACCCCTTCTTCCATTTCCTGACATGTAGGCAATGGGCACATAGCTCCTTCTTCCATTGCATCCTTGATGTTTAATGTAACATAGCCCCTTCTACCACTTTGTATCTGCTCAGATATAAAGAATAGACACAAATCCTGACGGGACAAGTTATATATACACGCAACACCTTCTTCCATGACATAACCGAATATTTTCAGAAGATGTCACTTGGCCCCTTCTTCCACTTGCCCCTTCAACTATACTTGAGTACCTAACCATTGTCGATCTAAATGAAAACCTTGTAGGCGACCTAGTGCGAAGAGGTATAATAAACTACCTACCTAGGTTGTCATCTAGAACGAAAATGACCTACTTAACTAAATTTTCAGAATGATCCAATATCCCGTTCTCCGTAAACGTCTAAGGTACCCTCGATCGTGACCCACCCTAAATACGTACTGCGTTTAAAGCATAGTCCCTCAATTTTTTGTTCATAAGTCAGTTCAATTCAACTAGAAAAATTATGGTTCCTGTTCTTTTTCATCAAGAAATACTCTATTGCAACATTGCTTTAACGAAAATAAGAAAAATTATTCGTGATCATAACACTTGTAATGAAATGTTCAAAATGTAAATTGAGATAACAACTCGATTACTATACAGCACCAACAAGAATTTATTTACCTTTTTCACTCTGGGAATTGAACTCATCTGCTCGGCAGCATGCAACATAATTTTCAAATTAACGGCTTCGTTCTCTCTCAACGGAAAAGATGTTTCAGACAATTTCAGTAGTCGAGTGACAGTTAAACCACTTTCCGCATTTCCCGGTCTTTTCACATTGCCGAGGGTGCTCAAATGTGCATTGTCCGCGTGTTCCGCGCGTTTTCCCGAGGTTTTCTTTCTCAGAAGTGGGATGGAGCGCGAGGTCATTTCCAGAAAGGGTGGCAGGGAAATTATGCTGCTTGTCGACATTTCCATGCGGATTTTACCTTGTTGGGAGGTCTCGAAATAAGGAAAGTTTATTCCAGCCAAGGCGTCAACATTGCCATATTAATGCTCTCGAACTTATAAGTTATGAGGAACTTTTAATTTGAAAACTTCTGACATATTCATCATATCGCAATTTACATTTTAATAGTAAATAACTGACATGGAAAACTATTCAAATAAATTCGTAAGGTAACTTCATTCTATCATAGCGATCAATTCGGTTGTTTACAGAGTCCTGACGATTGATTGCTGTTTCCTAAGAGATAGAAAGTTTAGTAAATTAGACAAAAGTTGCGTAACTTGGACCTCTTCAATATGATGTTTTGCAATAGGCTTGTACACCTTAGTAGAACTTTTAACTCAAACCATGTTTATAATGGTCCTTTTATACATAAATAATGATTGACGATATAATTTGATCGAAAAATTAACTGGAATGTTTTATTTTTGGACATAAATAATAGAACCTTCTGAAAACGGACTCTCTTGACGTAGAAACCTCATCTCGCCATAGTTGAAAGAAAATACCAAACGCCCGACGGAGACTGAGGTAACTGATATATTAATTCTTTCAACTATGATCTCGCGCTAATTCACTCTGTCAGAAATCATGTATCATTCATCACTGTCTGGAATAGTCTCGTATCAGTATTAGGGTTCTGACGTCACATCATCGCCTCGTTTTCAGAGGTCCGAAAAATCGGAGATTTCAATAATTTTTTATAAAACGTATGGAGCTCACAGCAAGAAACAGTTTGCGGTGGTGAGCTAATTTGGGTAAGTTCTTTCGAATTATGAAATAATTTTTTTTTGTGATATAAGCCCATTAGACATTCCGAATTCCTTCTCATTTCAGCAGAAATGACCTCAACTTTTGATTTTCAAATGGGACACTCGGGACACCATGTTATTTTTCACATTTTTGGATTTTGTAGATCATTTTACATATAGTCTCATAATGTTCACAGATAGACATCATAGCCAACTAGACTTTATTTTGATTTTATCAATTTTGTGTTTCGACTATCAAACGGATATTAGCAATAGTTGTTGAAAAATCGAAGTTATTCTAGAGAAATTATTTATGATCACTTGGACAGCCGATTATAGGAAGGATAGATATGGAATATAGTATGATTCGAATGTTTTCCTTGAGAAGGAACTGAAACAAAAACAATTTATGGCAGTAACAGCCACCTAGATACGATCCCAAGAATTAAATAAAAAATTGACGCTAAAAAAATGTTCGGGGTGTCTCATTTGAAAATAAAAAGTTGAGATCATTTCCGTCGACACCGGAAGTAACTAAAAAAGCATAATCATACATCATTGCATCCAAAATATGAACCCTTCAAATTTCAAAATTCCATCTCGAACGATTCCAAAGTTACAGGGGCGGCCTGATTCTCATGGCCACCCAGTATACCTACCACTCCAATACTTGAAATGTATGTCGAGTGGTGACTCATATGAAAGACCTGAAGTTTACCTATCCGTCACTTGTGCGATAAAAATTTGCACTTGGTAGGGTAAATGCACTGGTTCTCAACCTTTTAACCGAAATGTCAACTCCAGTAAAAGCTTATAACATTATATTGTATACCAATTCCTTGATAACTTGAAAGTAATTTGTGAATATTTTTCTAGCGTTCCTTTGCAATCAACTTCTGAAATCTTCATAAAAGTAAAAAAAAAACAATTTTCCTGTTGGTTCTCGACCAATATCCATCAGTTCGGTTCACAAGGAAATGACATAATTGAAGAACACTTGACATGTAAAAATTATAATATACAAATCATGTTCATGCTCAGACAGACTCCTAAAAACTATAGCACCAAAAAATTCTTATTTTCAGACATAAGAACCTAATGGTCATTGCTCTAGTCATTGTTTTCGATTCCTTAATGAGCTATGAGCAATGAAAATCAACATAAATCGAATTCTTTTATTTGTACAGCTGCAATATGTACTTCATGGTGAAATATGGTGCATATTTAAATGTAAAAATCATGTTGTAAAGAAATTTCTTGAAATACAGAAATAACTATATCTATTAATCAATATAAAACAAATCTCATATACCTTATGCATTCGAAATGAAATTTATCTACTTTTTTTTAGCCTGGTATCAACCAGCACTTTTTAAACATGGACTATAGCACAGCCTTTGTCAATGACAGAGGGTGATGAAATGATTTTCTGTGCGAAAAGCTCGAACTTTTTTCCCACTTTGCCAGCTATTTTGAATCGAGTGAAGTGGTCGAAAACACATTCCCTAGTAATTTTGATGAATTCAAGGAATATTTCTCGTATTATTTTATCTCAAATGCCAGAACGAGTCAAGAACCAGTGCCGGTCGGTTAACCAGTGCATCTATCCTATTTCCTGGAAAATATAATGATAATATCCGTGTGCCCAATCTGAGAAAATACACAGTCGAATAATTAGGTACTGTGTGCAAGCCTGTAACAAAGGTGTAATCATTTTAATGAACACTGAGGAATAAAGAAAACACCCTAGTCAATATTTACACTCTCGACAGCCAAATTGCTCAATTCCTTGTCCAACTCTCAACCTCACTAAACGAGAAAGAACTTGTGGCTACAATAACGAAACACCACTTGGGAAATTCGAATATCCCAATTCTCGGAGGCGATAATAATGGTCAAACATGCTCAAACAAATGCCCGACGAGAACTGCATTAATTAATGTAAAATGGAGGGCTTCGAAGTCAGTACGAGACTGACCGGCATAGTTGGACTCTTAATTGATGAGGTCACGTTGTGTAATACTAGCTACATTTCCATAATTTCTTTGTCCGCTGCTAGAGTTTAATGGAAATCAGGAAGTTCAGCATCAAATTATGCCTTCCGTTGATACCTATTAAATGGGGAAGTTTATTCCTACATTGAGATCTTCATTCATCCGTGAAGTTCATGGAACATTATTATACAGAGTGTAATTGAAATGAATACATATATTGAACACAGGAATATGCTTTGTTCTGACAAAGTATTCCATTTTTCCTTCGATTTAACGAGAAATTTCACATCAAAAATGAACAAAAATGGAAAAAATCTAAACCTCATCCAGTATCACGCCCTGAATATCAATCTAGACCACAAATACAATCTGCTATTATTTCAAAGTACCCATTCATGTTCATAAGTTCTAAGGAAGGGTGTTCAGGCACCGAATGGCATAATTCCCGGAGGATTGACACTGTTAGAAACCAGCCTTTATACGTAATAGATTAAGAAGCGTCAGACGATTCCTTATGGTGGACCACTTGGATTGTTGTGGAACCCAACAACTCTTTCTCCGGTGAGATTACTCTGATGATGAGTTGAAAGTTGTTAGGCCAGTAAAAATATGCAACAACTACGATATAGCCACAATGCTCATAGTGGAATGAAATGTTAAATAAATACCTAGAAAAATCTCAAGGTCATTTTCTTACGGCTATAACACAAAATTGCTCTTGTTTTACTGTGTTCGATACGTCAATGAGGTACTTGATTGATTGATTGATTGATTGATTGATTAATGGCAGAATGATCAGTCAGGGTTTGAGGTACTTTGTATATCATCAATATTATTTCCGTATCTGATATCACAATGACTCATTTGTGTTATTATGCCAAAAAAATCTCATCGCTCAGGGAATGTCAAATAGATGAGTATTACTTGACAGGAAATCAGATGGCTACAAGACGAAGAAATCGAAAATGCCGCTGTTATCAATTATAGCCGTAAAAAGTTATAGTGTATACCTTGCACGGAATGCTAATTTCCTACTCAAATGATTGCAGCATTCGCCTATGACTCATGCTGCAAACTTCATTCTCGTAGGAAATCACAAATCCGTGCTCGTTAAACAATATAGGTACTATTCCATACCAAAAAGCCTGGCAATGTCCTCTATAGAGGAACAGCTGCAAAAGCAATTCCTCAGAATATGGCAGGACACACCAGGAAGAGACAATCGAAGCTCCACATAAAGGAACCGAAGAGGCTCGCAAAAGAGGTTTTATTCCTAAACAGGCGAAACCTTAAAATGGTAGTGGGGCTCCTAACGGGGCACAACCACCTCAATAGGCACCTAGAGCTTATTGGGATTAAGGATGACCCCCTTTGCAGATGGTGCCTGGAAGATGACGAAACGTCATCACATGTCCTCACTGAGTGTCCAGCACTGACGCATCAGAGGAGGGCTGTCCTTGGCAACATAATTTTGAGGCCAGAGGACGTAAAAGAGATTCAGCTGAGGAAGCTGCTGAACTTCTCCAAGGCAGTCGGCATACCCAGCTGAATGTCGTAACATGTGGGCGCACAATGGGCCCGAATAAGGAGGCCCACGTGCAGGGGGTTCACCCGCCCACCACTGCTTCGAAGGAGAAGAAGAAGAAGAAGAAGAAGAAGAAGAAGAAGAAGAAGAAGAAGAAGAAGAAGAAGAAGAAGAAGAAGAAGAAGAAGAAGAAGAAGAAGAAGAAGAAGAAGAAGAAGAAGAAGAAGAAGAAGAAGAAGAAGAAGAAGAAGAAGAAGAAGAAGAAGAAGACTATTGCACACAATGATAGATTTCGAACTGGCCTCGCTCAATCGAAATCAATAGGCATTTAGGAAAGAATCACTTGTATCAGTATTCGTTTATACGAGTCGATGCATAGATTTCGGGAGGATGTAATTCAATTCAATGTTCAGCGTGGCATTAGCCAGGAAAGTGGTTGTTTTTCTCCAGAAATCTACCATTGTTGTTCATTTTATGAACATTGTGTGGAAATGACTTCGAGATTTTTGTATTTATTTAAAATTATGCAAGTTAGAATTGTTGATGGTTAGAGCGTCAATGTTCTATCCACGTTGGATTACCGGTAGTGGGTTCGATTCCCACCACGACCGCAGAAATTTTTCTGATGGCAAAAAGAAAAGGTAAGACCACCGTCATTCCTTGATCGCACAAGTCTTGTGAATGAAATAATATTAATGAAATATTCAATGCCCCGTATATTGGGATTTTTTGAGTTTTGTCATAAGTTGTCAATAAATATTTTTTGGGGAAGACGTCAACTTTTGATTTGGAACCGAAAGGTTTAAAAAATACTGTTATAT